ATTGTTCAGCAGTAGGTTGTTTAATTTCCACGATTTCTTGTAGAGTTAACTGTTTCCATTGGAATTGCTTTTCTAATTTTATTCCACTGTAGTCTGAGAAGATACATGGTATAATTTTTATTTTTTTAAATTTGTTGAGACATGTTTTGTGGCCTAGGATGTGATCAATCTTAGAGAATGTTCCATGAGCTGATGAGAAGAACATATATTTGGTAGTTTGGGGAAGAATGTTCTGTAAATGTATATTAGGCCCATTTATTCTAGAGGCCTGTTTAAGTCCATTGTTTCTTTGTTTATTTTCTGCTTGGAGGATCTGTCCCATTCTGTAAGTAGGGTGTTGAAGTCACCAGCTATTACAATACTGCTGTTTATCATTTTGTTTAGATCAAGTAGGGTTTGCCTTATGAATCTGAGTGTACCTGTGTCAGGTGCATAAATATTTAGGATTGTTCTGCCTTGTTGAATTATTCCCCTCATTATATAATTACCATCTTTGTCTTTCTTTACTTTTGTTGATTTGAAGTCTATGTTATTTATATGAGAATGGCTATACCAACTCTCTTTTGGTTTCCATTTGCATGGAATATTGTTTTCCATCCCTTCACCTTGAGTCTGAATGAGTCCTTATGGGCTAGATGCATTTCCTGGAGACAGCAGATACTTGGCTTATATTTTTTTTATCCATTCAGCCAGGCTATGTCTCTTCAGTGGGGAGTTTAAAGCCATTCACATTTATTGAAAGGATTGATAAGTGGGGTGGATTTCTGTTCATCCTATTGAGTGGAACTTTATTGCTTTGTTTTACCTCTTAAACCATTGTGGTATCTGGGCTTTGACCTTTAGCTTTTGGGTGATTTTACACTGGTGGGTGTCTATTGTGCTGACCTGTGTGTAATGCAGATCTGAGTACTTCATGCAGGCCAGGTCTAGTTATGATCAAATGGTAGGATCAAATGGTAGGTCTACTTTTAGTTCTTTGAAGTATCCCCATACTACTTTCCATAGAGGTTGTACTAGTTTACAGTCCTACCAACAGTATATAAGTGTTCCTTTCTCTCCACATCCACGCTAGCATCTGTTGTTTTGGGACTTTTTAATAAAAGCCATTCTCACTGGACTTAGATGATATCTAAGTCCTCAATGTTTGCTTGTTTGGGAAAGACTTAATTTCTCCATCAAATGTGAAACAGTTTTGCAGGATACAAAATTCTAGGCTGGCAGTTGTTCTATGTAAGATTGAAGATGGGGGGGCCCACTCCCTTCTGGCTTGTAAGGTTTCCACTGAGAAGTCTGCTATTATCCTGATGGGTTTTCCTTTGTAGGTCAGTCGTTGCTTATGTCTAGCTGTTTGTAGAATGTTCTCTTTCATTTTGACTTTGGCCAGGTTGATTACTGTGTGTCTTGGAGATGTCCTGTTTGCTATGAATCTTCCTGGAGTTTGATGACCATCTTGTATCTCGATGTCTGGATCTCCGGCGATACTAGGGAAGTTTTCCTTAATAATTCCCTCAAACAGATTTTCCATGCTTTTAGCACTTTCTTATTCTTCAGGGACACCTATGTTATAATTCATATGTTTGTTCACTTTGCATAGTCCCATATCTCTCTAAGTGATTGCTCTGCCTTTGTTGTTCTCCTCCTTGCCTCTTTAAATGGCTGGGTTAGCTTGAGAGCCTTGTCTTCAAGCTCTGATTTTCTTCCTTCTCGGTTTAATCTGTTGCTGAAACTTTCTGCTGTGCTTTGAAAAATCCCTGAATGACTTTAATTTCTTTAATTTCTATT